AAGACGACGATATGAGAATATTAAAGAAGCGAGAAGTATATAAAGAGAAGAGAAAGGAATAAAAAGAGAAAGATAGGATAATAACAGCGAAGGATAAGATGGATGGAGAAAAAAGAGAAGAGGGAAGAGCGGGGTGAGAAGGGGCGAAGAGGAGCAGGAAAAGGGGGAGAAAGAGTGGAAAATGAGGGACGAGGATGGTGGCGCATCCGATATTATAGCACAAGCTGCGGTCGCCACTTGCCTAAGCCGGATATTCGAAATGGGAACCGAATGTGAACACGGTGCTAGTGTGACGCCTCGTATTCTTCGTGTCTGCGGTTAGAATACGGCGCGTGTTTGATATTCGCGTTTTTGGTGACTCTGGGATCGAGTCGACCACAGGCGCAAATTTTATTTCATGGCCGATGACAGGCCATGAAACGAAAGTGATCGGAATCGGGGAGTTTGTTTCACGCAACCATTTAACGTGATACTTCGTTCTATATTTTACGATCGATTTCCGTATCTTCTTTGTGATTTCTGTATTATGGAAAACGTAGTAATAACGAATCGAAGATATCGAGTGATATATATATTTGAAGGGTGCGTTTCTTTTTATTTATAGTATATCGTTTTCGTAAATTTAATTTTTGTCGCGAGATTAAAAAGAGATTCTTTCGAAAATATTTTATTTATAAACTATGATGATTGTTAACGTTCAAAATTATTTAAAAGTTTTATTAACAGAATGACATATTTTTAGAAAACGATTTGCAAACAACACGTCGGTTATTTTAATAATAAATAAAACTGATAAATATGATTTTACACCAACAAGGAGGGCAAGGAGTTTGGCAAACGCTTTAAATACAATACGAAGGCACTTGCTCGCTTCTATAAGTGCAAATCATCAGTAAGTTACATATATTTATGGGATACATTTATCACCTGATCCTTTTAGGACTACTCTGAAAGGATGAGAAATGGCGCTCTCCGAATGATTGAAATCCTCGCGTAATGTTCAAAGTGAAACTTTCTCGAAAATAATTGCGAATTCCACGCGGGAATGCGATATTAATACTTATACGTATATACAATTATATAAATAATTCACGCGTAAAATTTCGACAACTTTTCGACACTTTTCGATTCTTTCGTATCGTGCAATTTTTCCGTCCCCTTTATTTTCGAATCGTGAATCGAATCGTTCTCGAACCAGAGCAGAAAAAAAAATGGGGGAGCGCAAAGGAATAAAAACAATTCAATCCGAACTTTTGTCAACTTTTTTTTTTTTTTTTTCCCTCCCTTTTATTTTTTCAACTCCCCTCCC